GATCAATATTGTAAAACTGGCTAGCATATATCATAGAGTAATCAGGTATTATCCTGTTCTCATAGGCTAGGTAGAGTTGAACACCTAAAATGTAACCTCTATCAACAGGGAAACACTTAATCATTCTTACCATTGCTGGGAAGGGTAGGTGCTACTGATTGCCCCTCTCCTTTTTGAGCTAGTGATAGTACAATATACCACACAATAATAATATAGAGTACATAATTCATAGTCAATTGTAAGCTCTCTATTTTGCAGCTACTGGTTATATAGTCAGAAATGCTGTGATAGTTATATGCTATATAAATGTTTTTCCCTTGTGCACAATGTTATTATAATCAACAATAAAACATGTGACATGTATTTTAGAAACATTGAATGTTTTTTAACCTGTTTACTCTAGGTTACCAGTATGATGGTAAAAATCAACCAAAATTAAAGTATTAATTGTTTTTATGTAGTGAAATTTGAATATGTCTCAAATGAATCCAAATAGGTCAGTACAATCTGAAATATCCCTTGATATTGTTGCTAAAATAAAAAAAATAATTATGTAATTTCACTCAGTTTTAAAATATGCATGTTGGCAAGAAATTTAAAATGCATGTGCAGATAATTAATATAGAAACTAAGGCAAATTATATTCTTAAATGCATTTTGGTTGAAACATATGCAGTCATCATGCGTTAGTACATCCTGTTTCAAATAATAATTGATACTTACAACAGTCTGTACACTGCCTGGTTTTTGAATACGTTGACTTTTGAGTACTTGAAATACATCAATGACTCCTTCAGTTTTACATTTATTAATTGTTGTAGCAGCTGCACAAAACACTCCTGAACGACCAACTGTATCACTATAAAGAAGGAAATTAAAATTAAATAATATTTAAATCACACTTTTTTCTCACCTGCAGTGTATTACAATGCTTGTGTTTCCTCTTTTCCTTTGTGTTCTGTACATTTCTTCTATTACCAACAGTATAGTCTGAGGGTTAGTCAACTTTCCAGTTGAATCCCAATTTGTTATCTGATACTGTTTCACTTGTTGCTTATCACCAGCCTATGTTGTGTACATGTACATATGCACTATGAATTACAAAATGAATAGATTTACTTTGTTGTCATTTGTAACTTCTATTTTCCTCTCAATATATCCAGCATTGTGTATTTCTTCATTCAAAAGTGAAATATTGTACTCTCCTAATTTTCTATTTGACCAGTACTGATAACAAACCTCCTAATCATAAATGATAAAAATTAAATTATCTACTCATTAATGTTACTTGATTGTTTTTATTTTCTTGGCATAGCATTACAATAGCAGTCACATTTCTATCATCAATCATCTTCCAGAAGTTTCTAGCTGTATTAAACATTGGACTCTCTGCAATTATGAATGCTTTCTTTTCTTTGTAACCCTAAAATGATAAGTATATACTTATGATACAAGGAACTAGTGACAATGCATTACATTAATAAAAACTGCATTGATGTAATCTGGATGCTCTCCTTTA